CCTGGAACTAAGGTGGATGGAGCGGGGAGGGGGCGCCCCCTTTTCCCAAAGCTGCCCCTTGATCCTCTCACGCTTCCCCTGGTGGTAAGGCCGCAAACAAAGGGAGGGGGTGGGCACTCTGTATTCCTAAATAAAAATTTAAATAATTAAAATAAATACAAATTAAAATAATTTAAAAAATTGTTTGATTTAATTGAAAAATTCTTAATAAAGTATCACCTCCCCCCCCAACCCTACCCTTGTGGCTAGGGTTGCCAGGTGTCCCGTTTTCTATCAGACAGTCCAGTATTTACGCTCTCTACCCGGTAAAAAAATTCAGAAAATATCGGACATGTGCAATATCCGGTATTTTCTGAATTTCCAGCTGGGCACTGGGCGAAAGCCTGGTGGTGCCTCCTTTGGTTGCGTGCGGAAGCCGGGCGGTATGCCTGACACGTGTGGTGGTTTTTTTTTCTCGTTTGCTCGACAAAAATTTTTACCCCGCGTGTTTGGTATTTTTTGGGAGAGCATCTGGCAACCCTACTTGCGGCCCACAGCTGTTTTCGTTGAAGTAATATGGCCCTCGCCACTTTCCGAGTTGTGGAGGCCTGTTGTACAATGAGTTTTGAAAACTTTTTTTCCCCCCTTAAGAATGGCAATTTTCAAATATAGAAGGTTTTCGTATATTACTATTTTTCAAGTCTGGTTTGTGTTCATTTATTCTTTTGCATAGACAGTCCAGTTTTTCCAATGTACAGGCACATGATGGCATATATCACTTTAGTAGATGTGCATGTGAACCAGCTCTGGATGATATGGCTGATGTGGTTAAGTCCCATGATGGTGCCACTAAGACAGATGTGTGGACAGAGCTGGCGATGGGTTTGTTGCAGAGATGGGCTCCTGGGTTATTCTTTTTGCTGTGGGGTGTGAAGTTGGCGGTGAGTATTTGTTTCAGGTGTTCTCCAGAGACCAACACACAAAGAAAGGCCTTTTGGATAAATAGCCTGAGTTTAAAGCAGATTGTAAAGAGATCTCACAACACTAGGTGGGTGGACAAAAAAAATGGCAGATGACATTCAATGTTGATAAATGCAAAGTAATACACAAACATAATCCCACCTGTCAGTCAGATGTGCTCAAATAGGACGAGTCCTTCAAATCCTTCTAGAAGGATTGAGGTTTTCACACCCATTTTCTGCATCAGAGAGAAGGCCCTGAGCCAACAGAAGAACAGAGAAATGGCCAAATCAGACCAGTGATTTGTCTAGTCCAGGATCCCGTCTTCTCACAGTGGCCAGTGCTCCAGAGGGAATGGACGGAATTGGGCAATTATTGAGTGATCCATCCCCTGAAGTCCATTCCTAGCTTTTGGCAGTCAGAGTATGGGGTTGCCTCCCTGACCATCTTGGCTAATAGCCATTGATGGCCTTATCTTCCATGAACGTATCTAATTCTTGAATGCAGTAATGCTTTTGGCCTTCACAATATCCCCTGGCAACAAGCCCCACAGGTTGACTTCATTGTATGCGGAAATACTTCCTTTTCTTTGTTTAAAACCTGCTGCCTGTTAATTATGTTGGATGACCCCTTGTTCTTTTGTTATGTGAAAAAGTAAATAACACTTCCTCATTCACTTTCTCCACACCATTCATGATTTTATAGACCTTTCTCATATCCGCCTGTTAGTTGCCAGTTTTTCAAGTTGAGTAGGCCCAGTCTTTTTAATCTCTCCTCATATGGCAGCTGTTCCATAACCCTAATAATTTTTGTTGCCCTTCTCTGTACCTTTTCTATTTCTAATGTGTCTGTTTTTCAGAGAGGGTGACAAGAACTGCATGCAGTATTCATAGTGTACCGTGGATTTATACTGTGGCATTATGATATTTTCTGTTTTGTTACCTATGCCTTTCCTAATAGTTCTTAATGTTCTGCTAGCTTTTTTTGACTACTGCTGCACATCTGGCAGATGTTTTGGATAACTATCCACCATGACTCTAAGATCTCTTTCTTCTTGAATGGTAACAACTAATTTAGACCCATCATTTTGTATACAGGCAGTCCCTGGGTTACGTACAAGATAGGGACTGTAGGTTTGTTCTTAAGTTGAATCTGTATGTAAGTCGGAACTGGCGTCAGCTGCTGCTGAAACTGATCAGTTTCAACAGCGGCTGAATCTGGACGCCAGTTCTGACTTACATACAGATTCAACTTAAGAACAAACCTACAGTCCCTATCTTGTACGTAACCCAGGGACTGCCTGTATACAAAATGATGGGTCTAAATTAGTTGTTACCATTCAAGAAGAAAGAGATCTTAGAGTCATGGTGGATAGTTATCC